AACCTGATGCCTATTAATTTCATTTGGTGACCCCTAGTGCTTATGGGAACAAGTCAATTTTTCCTTATTCACTTTTTCCACCCCATCACGATTTTATAGACCTCTATCATATCCTCCTCTTAGTCTCCTCTTTTCTAAATTGAAAAGTCCAAGTCTCTTTAATCTCTCTTTATATGGGATCTGTTCCAAACCCCTAATTATTTTTGTTGCCTTTTTCTGAACCTTTTCCAATGCCAATATATCTTTTTTGAGATGAGGCAACCACATCTGTACACAGTATTCAAGATGTGGGCATACCATGGTTTTATGTAGAGGCAATAAGATATTCTCTGTCTTATTCTCTATCCCTTTTTAATGCTTCCTAACATTCTATTTGCTTTTGTGACTGCCACTGCAAACTGAGTGGATGTTTTCAGAGAACTATCCAGAATGAATCCAAGATCTCTCTCTTGAGTAGCTGTAGTTAAATTAGTCCCCATCACATTGTATGTAGAGTTGGGATTATTTTTCCAACGTACATTACTTTACATTTATCAACATTAAATTTCATTTGCCATTTTGTTGCCCAATCACTTAGTTTAGTGAGATCTTTTTGAAGCTCTTCACAATCTGCTTTGGTCTTAATTATCTTGAGCAGTTTAGTATCATCTGCAAATTTTTCCACCTCATTGTTTACCCCATTCTCTAGATCATTTATAAATAGGTTGAATAGGATTGGTCCTAGGACAGATCCCACTAATTACCTCTCTCCACTCTGAAAACTTACCATTTTTTCCTATCCCTTGTTTCCTGTCTTTTAACCAGTTATCAACCATGAAAGGACCTTCCCTCTTATCCCATGACAACTTACTTTTACTTAAGAGCCTTTGGTGAGAGACCTTGTTAAAGGCTTTCTGGAAATCTAAGTATACTATATCCATTGGATTCCCACTGTCCCCCTTTGTTGACCCCCACAAAGTACTCTGGTAGATTAGTAAGGCATGATTTCCTTTTACAGAAACCATATAGACCAGTGGTCCCCAACCATTTAAGGTTGCCGGGCGCCAGGGGGCGTGGCTGTTCGTCCGCTGGGCGCCAGAGGGCGCCCCCCCCCATAGCCGCGCGCCTGGGGGTGGCGCCCCCCCCAAGCGCCGCGTGCCCGGGGCCGGCGCTCCCCTCATGCGCCGTGCGCCCAGAGCGCGGGCGGCCAATCCGCGGCGCTCCCAGGGCTGGCGCTCACTGTGCGCCCGGCTCCGGCACCATGCATGCACCACGTGCCCGGGACCAGGCCAGCCCCAAGCACTTGGCGGGCACACGCAAATGCCCCCACAGGTGCCATGGCACCCGTGGGCACCGTGTTGTGGACCACTGCCATAGGTGGTCCCACTGAAGTCTATGGCAAAACTCCCAGTGACTATAATGGATTTCTTCCCATAATCTCCCTACAGAAGTTGTTTTTATTGCATTTGAACCCAGCATTTTGAGGGTGAAAAGGCCATACCTTGCTGTGTTGTATATGCAGAAAAGAGGCAGGAGATGTTACATAAATAAAAATCTCAACAATTTCCTTTCATACAGTCACACATTCCTAGAGTTTAAGGCTAGAAGTGACCCCAGATAATCTAGTCTCATCTCCTTTATACTTCACTTTCGCTATCTTCCAGTGATTAGGTACAGAAGCTAATTTATAGAATAGGTTACAAACCACAGTTAATAGTTCCACAATTTCACATTTGAGTTCTTTCAGAACTCTTGAGTGAATGCCATCTGGTCCTGGTGACTTGTTACTGTTAAGTTTATCAATTTATTCCAAAACCTCCTCTAATGACACCTCAATTTGGGACAATTCCTCAGATTTGTCACTTAAAAAGAATGGCTCAGATTTGGGAATCTCCCTAACATCCTCAGCCATAAAGACTGAAGCAAAGAATTAATTTAGTTTTTCTGCAATGACTTTATCATCTTTGAGTACTCCTTTAGCATCTCCATCATCCAAGGGCCCCACTGGTTGTTTAGCAGGCTTCCTGTTTCTGATATACTTAAAAAAACATTTTACTATTACTTTTTGAGTTTTTCACTAGCTGTTCTTCAAACTCCTTTTTGGCTTTTCTTATTATATTTTTATACTTAAATTGACAAAATGTATGCTCCTTTCTATTTTCCTCACTAGGATTTGACTTTCACTTTTTAAAAGATAGCTTCTTTCACTTGATTGTTAAGCCACAGTGACACTTTTTTGGTTCTCTTACTGTGTTTTTTAATTTGGTGTATACATTTAAAGTTGGGCCTCTTTTATGGTGTCTCTGAAAAGCATCCATGCAGCTTGCAGAGATTTTTCTTTTGTCATTGTTTATTGTAGTTAATTTCTGTTTAACTAGCCTCCTCATTTTTGTGTGGTTCCCCTTTCTAAAATTAAATGCCACAGTGCTGGGCTGCTGAGGTGTTTTTTCCAACTCAGGGATGTTAACTTTTATTACATTGTAGTCACTATTTCCAAGCGGCCTGGTTATATTTACCCCATGGACCAGATCCTGTGCTCCACTTAGGACTAAACCAAGAATTGCCTCTCCCCTTGTGGGTTCCAGAATCAGCTGCTCCAAAAAGCAGTCATTTATTTAAGGTATCAAGACATTTTATCTCTGCATCCAGAGGTGACACGTACCCAATCAACATGGGAATAATTGAAATCCCCTACTATTATTGAGTTTTTTATTTTGATAGATTCTCTAAACTCCCTTAGCATTTCATAGTCACTGTCACTGTCCTGATCAGGTAGTCAATAATACATCCCTACTGCTATATTTTTATTATTGCAGAAACCATGTTGACGCTTATAATTTATAGACAATACCAAGTGAGGAGAGACTGCAAGTGTTTTGGAGGTTAGGATTTAAATTTAAAATGTTCTTAAACTGGAAAAATAGTCTGACATAAACAAGATGAAATTAAAAAAAGGACAAATGCAAATACTCCACTCAAGAATCATAGAATACTAGGACTGGAAGGGACCTCAAGAGGTCATCAAGTTCAGTCCCCTGCCCTCATGGCAGGACCCAGTACTGTTTAAACCATCCCTGATAGACATTTATTTAACCTACTCTTAAATATCTCCAGAGATGGAGAGTCCATAATCTCCGTAGGCAATTTATTCCAGTGTTTAACCACCCTGACAGTTAGAAACTTTTTCCTAATGTCCAACCTAAACCTCCCTTGCTTCAGTTTAAGCCCATTGCTTCTTGTTCTATCCTCAGAGACCAGGAAGAACAATTTTTCTCCCTCTTCCTTATGACACCCTTTTAGATACCTGAAAACCACTATCATGTCCTCTCTCAATCTTCTCTTTTCCAAACTAACAAGCCAAATTATTTCAGCCTTCCTTCACAGGTCATGTTCTCTAGACCTTTAATCATTCTTGTTGCTCTTCTCTGGACCCTCTCCAATTTCTCCACATCTTTCTTGAAATGTGGTGCCCAGAACTGGACACAATACTCCAACTGAGGCCTAACCAGCGCAGCGTAGAGCAGAAGAATGACTTCTCGTGAGTTGCTCACAACACACCTGTTAATGCAACCCAGAATCATGTTTGCTTTTTTTGTAACAGCATCATACTGCTGACTGATATTTGTACTCCTTCCCATACTATAGCTTCCCATTCTGTAGGTGTGAAACTGATTGTTCCTTCCTAAGTGGAAGGAACAATCAGTTGCATACATACAAAATGGTAAATGAACTGCAGAAAGGAATCTGGGGATCATAGTGGACCATAAACTAAATATGAGTCAACAGTTTGACACTGTTGGGAGAAAAAACAAACATCATTCTGGGACTGGGATGTATTAGCAGGAGTGTTGGAAGCAACACACGAGAAGTAATTCTTCCATTCTATTCTGCGCTGATTAGGCTTTAACTAGTAACTTCTCACTTAGAATTTTTCAAGAACTACAATGTTACTTTAAGCGAAATGATGTTAATCGAATCCAATTTCCCTATACGAATTAATGTAAATAGTGGGGATTAAGTTCTAGGATTTTTTCTGGCAGAAAAAAGACAGTACATACATACAAGTTTTAAACAATTTAATACTATACACAGTGAAGATGACTGTGAAGCTTCGTTCAGATGGTGGATTCAGAGGGTGGAATATTTCCCAGGGAGTGTCTTCCACTACATGAACTAGCACTTGGCTGAGCCCTTCAGGGTTAACATGATGCTATTAGTGAAGCCTCTAACTCTACAATGCAGCATGGACTGAGGCAGGAGGGAGGAAACACAATAGATGCATGGCAGTGGATGCCTGCAAACACTTCATTACAGAAACTGAACATGATGATGAACCCATATTACCTGCTGGAGTGCGCCACTCTCTTTTCTGGATGGTGCATACCTGGTGGCACCGTGTCAAAGAGAGAGAGAGAGAGAGAGAGAGAGAGAGTGTGTGTGTGTATTTGAGAGAGCGAGAGAGAGGTAGACAGAGTCATTCATTGTTCCTTTAAGTATGCTGGCCCCAGCTCAAGTACACTGCCCTTGTAAGGAAACCAGGAAATCCAGACACAAGACTGTAGCTGTGATATCCTGTTTCGTGGAGGTGGAGATGGGGTATGGGGTGGGGAAAGGGGCTTGGAAGGGGGGCTTTCTGGCATCACCACCCTTCTCCTCCTCACACAACGAACAGGAGGCTTCTCGGAGCAGCTCCAAGGCAGAGGGCAGGAGCAACACTGCAGAGGGGAGGTGGGGAGCTGAAATGGCAGCTGCCCCGCCCCCCAGAAAATCCTGCAAGAAGTGGATAAAGCAGGCAGCCAAACAACATTATGAGGCAGTACTACACAATTTTAAATGAGCCCTCTAATAAATAAGCAACATAACAATGAAACAATAGTAACCAGGACAACATTAAGTCAGGAGTTACTGTGTCCAGTTCTGGAAGCCACAATTCTTAGCCCCACTACTGGTAAATGTAGTAGTAACTGTTCCCAAGAAAGCTCTTAGCTCCCACGTTAAAATATACTAAACAACACACTTACATTTGTGCCTGTTTCTCTCCAATCCCAGGTTCGGCTCCCTCCTGGCCAAACTTTGCAGTCCTTATAAGTTGTAGAACAACCCTTCACCATCATTTGACCCCATGAAAGGGAAGCAATTTCAGGAGAAGACATCATCAACTTCAAAAAGTCTGAAACAAACAACATAATCTTTATAGTGCTTCTCACTAAAAAGGTGTTCATGCCTGGAGGAGCTTGGAATGTAAGTAAACACAGAAGTCACAGTAAGTACTAAAGAAGGAAAGAGAGGACAGTCTTGCACGGGATTGGAGCTCAGCAGATGTGTGTTCAGTTCTCAGCTGTGGCAAAGTCTTCATGTGAGACCTCAGCAAGACATTTCATCTTTTGGTGACTCAGATCCCCATCTGTAAAATAGGCATGATACTACTCCTCTTATTTCTTTGGGATGTGCTAAATCCATATATATCTCTATATAGCTAAATCCATATATACTTGGGTGATGCTCAGATATTATGGTAATAGCTATGATGCCTAAGAAAGTTTGGAGGAGGAAGGTAAAATAAAAAATATTTCTCTTGTTGGCTGTGAATTAACGTTCAAAAGTATTCAGTACAACAAGGAAACAGCTGTATGGTATATAAAGGATTCACTTCAAAAAACATTTAGGTACAGAATTGTTTCTGCCATCCTTCCCTTTACCCTCAATGAGTGAGGTCATTGTGCAGAGAAGAGATGGCTGAAAGCTATTACACCATTCCTTTGTTAGTCTACTTTATGCATTTCTTATGCACCCATCAGAGTCTGATCTAGGTTATGATCGGGAACAGTGGAAGACACTAGAAATGAACAAAATGCTCCTTTCCCCACTTAATATAATGGGTTCTGGGGATACCTCTAAAAGGGTGAAATCAGGGCAAATTGCTTGGAAATAGAGCTACTTATAGCCCAAAACCAGGGGTCCTCATCTATAAGTTATAAAGAGCATTTCTGTTTGCCACACTGGCCAGCAAGAAGTCACATAAACAATCCCCTGGACACTCCAGCTTCTTCTCTGCCACAACCGTTACCATTGCTCACATAGTTGAGAAGTTATGAAAACCAATCTCACTAAATCCAAACAGGTTCTGATCTCAAACGATCAGCAACATTCCCAGGTAAATTTATACCTCAGATCTTACCCAAAAGAGCATGCTGTGCCAATCCTTTAGAAAGAAAAGGTTGAGAGTAAAATTGTTAAAGGAAGTAAATTATATATACCAATTACAAAGTTCTTGGTGCAGGCTCTTAGTAGAGATGGAATAAACGGCTATCTTAAAAGTCTCTGGAATACATCCTTTGTTAGGATGGGTTATCAGTCCTTCTGGGATCAGTTCATAGTCAAGATACTTCTGAAGTGATGAGCTGATGTGAAGACAAAAATTGAGGAAATCTTAGACCCATTTTTTAATCTTTCCCTTGTGAAGAGAAACCCATTGTTCTTGCTGCATGAAAGTAACTTCCAAATAGAGTTTGTCACATGAGCAAGTCACCTCTCTATACAGCACCAGAGATGGATCTCCAATGATTTTTCCACTAGACCTCAGCTCATCACACAGATGATAGGTAGGGATGTGAACAACTAGTCAGATAGTCGACACACTAGTTGACTAGTTGTTTCCCCTCCACCCCTTGCTGCCTCTATCAGAAAGAGTCAGCAAGGGGGAGGGGAAGAGGAAGAGGTGCTTCAAAGCAGTAATGCCGCGTGGAGCCTCGGGTCAGACCCTGAGCTCCATATGGTGCTACCGCTTTGAAACGCTGTGTGCAGCCCGGGGCAGCAGCACCACATGGAGTCCAGGGTCAATCCCCAGCTGACCCTGGGCTCCACGCGGTGCTGCCACTTTGAAATGCTGCATGCAGCCTGGCACCAGCTGGGGACTCTTGCCTTGGACTGCACGTGGTGTTTCAAAATGGCAGCGCTGTGTGGAGCCCATGGTCAAGTGGGGACTCCCCCGCTGACCTGGGTTCCGTGCAGCACTGCCACTTTGAAATGCCATGGGGAGCACGGGGCCAGGAGGGGACTGGTTGAGTTCCCCACTGGCCCCATGCTCCCCACAGCACTTTCACCTTTGAAGTGTAGCGACAGCCCCGAGGCTGTCGCTACACTTCACAGGCGGAGGCACCCTTATCGGCTAATCGATTAGACAATTAACCTAAATTTAACATACTTAATGATAGGGTCCCTTTAGAATCATCTTGATATATGTTAGACCACCATCTTAGAAATTTGTCTTTCTGCCCTTCCAGTTTCTGAGTGGGGTGGTCTGAAAAGAACCAGTTTTCTATCTCTGCACTGAAGAGAGATCTGTTCATTCTGCTCAAACTAATCTGAGGTGGGGACTCTCTTTATCATGTGAATAGTAAAGAGGTCCCTTTATTAAACGTATGGAATTCAACCAACCACTTAAAAATACATTCTCTTCTCCAGTTTATCCAGATTTCCAGTCACAGAAACTTTTCCCAGTCCTGAAGTTGTGTTTAATTGTTCAAATACAACAGTAAAAATCTACTGCATGTAGCCTGGTGTTGCTGATGAACAAGAGTCCTCACAAAAGAGAAAATATCTGGATTAACAGATTTTCAGTCCTCTTGGAAAATCTTATGGAAAAAGCCTGTTAACATTTGCACAAAGGCTCAAATAACATTACAGTAACTTTGCAACCCCTCTGCCCTCTTGACACACAGCAAGGCAAACAGATAGAAAGTAGATACTCTTCTCTGACTGCCAAAAATGAATTTGAGTTTGCTGCCTCAAATGTCACATCAAGAACAAAACAGCACTACTACTTGGGACTCAGCAAAGGATTTAGACTGTCTCAGCATTTATGTTTATAGAATGATAGTAGGGCAACATTTTTTTGGCCTCCTCTTGAAGCTGAGGACAAAGTGCCTGATATCCTTGTGCACAGGACATGTCCCCTGTAAAATACTACAATTCAATCAGATTTGTGTTCTCTCAGTTCATGTTTGCAATGCTATGGAGCCAGCATCCTTTCAGGTGGAGACTCAAATATTCATTTTTGGGAGGTATGTGAAGTGAGGCAGCAATAGAAGAAGAAAGGAAGAACAAGGGCAAGTCTCAGGACAAAGGAGATTAGTCACCCACCCACATTCACCCACTCAGACCAAAGAGTAAAAGCATCATCTCTAGATGTTAGCTCTGAACAGGAAAGTTTCTGTACGAAATATTTATGAGGGATTACAAAGAAACAAGTACAGTATTATAGAGTTGCAATTGCTCAAGATTATACAGAAGAAAGTTACAGTTATCTTTACATAAATAATAAATGATTAAGAGTATAGAACAATTGTAATAGGAAGAAAGGTTGAAACTAGGGATGTAATAATTTAGTCGATTGACCGATAAGCAAAAGTTTATAGGTTAATGCTATAGACTAAACGCATTTCCCTCCCCCCACCCTTGCCAGTACATTTTTTTAGCAGGCTGGCCAGCAGCTCAGCTCAGTTCTGGCTCACATTGGGTCCAGAACCTAATACTGCTGTGGCTCTGTATTTAAAGTGTATTAGGAGCCAGGTGGGTAGGCAACCCGGCTCAATTCCAGCTCATGCCAGATCCAGGAGCTCAGACCCACCTTAGAAAGGGGCAGTAACCCTTTATCCGAGGCAGCAACAGTGGGTAACAGGCAGCCGTTCCACAAGGGGAGCTGGTTTTTAAACTGGCTCCCCTCATGGACCAGCTCCCGCCTGACACCCTGCACTGCTACCTCTGTTACAGCGGCTGCCGGCCCAGCCCTAAGGGATTATAGAATAGTAGATTAACCAATAAGAATTCATGAGATTACTCAACTATTCAATTAACCAATATTTAACATCCCTAGCTGAAACAACTGGGTCTGAATAACTGAGACACAGGATGTGATGTAAATGGCCTAGAAAATGTACATCAGGAGCTCGTATTTGCCTTGCCTTCCCAGTAACATATGATTAAGTAAGCATTTAATGAATTTGAATGAAGAGGTGTGAGATCAGATTTTAAGTGTCAAGTGGACACCTAAATATGCAGATACATATCAAATGAGATTGTCAAAAACACCTAGACACTGATCTCCCACTGGAGTTAAACACTGGTGCAGAGGAACAAGAGGCAGGGTGATCAGAAACGTATGAATGGAAGTAGGGATGTAAGTGACTAGTTGACTATCCAATAAGCAAAGCTTATCAGATAGTCGACTAGTCCCTCGACTAGTTGCTTCCCCCCCACCTTGCTGCCTCTATTAGAGTCAGAAAGGCAGGGGGGAGCAGGAGCTAGTGCTGGGGGTTTGGCTTAATAGCTGATTCCCCCTAGCATCGTCTCCATGGAGGGGCAGTGGAGGTAGGGGAGTAGTGGGGAACGGGCATAAGCCCAGTCCCAGATGCTGAGCCTCTGCCTTTTAAATGTATTAAGAGCCAATAAGCTCTTAATACATTTAAAAATTAGAAGTGCAGTGGGGAGGAGGGGGAGGGAGGAGCCAGGACAGCTGATTCTAGGCTCACACTGGGTCTTCCCTACTGCGCTGCAGCCTTTTTACATTGAAGACTGGTGCATAGCAAGGGAGGACCAGGAGAGTCAGTAATCAGCCATCCCGACTCGTGCTGGGTTCCCCTGCTACACTTTAGCCTTTTAAATATATTAAGAGCCTGACAGCTCTTAATACATTTAAAAGGCAGATCTGCAGCAGGGTTAGCTCCTGGCCAATGTGGCTCCCCCACAAATTGACTAATAGATGGAAAATCCATCGACTAGATGATTAAACTAAATGTAACAACCCTATATGGAAGGAGGGAATCTGACACCACTAAGCATTGAGATGGTGTAGAAGGACAGAGTGATTTATAAAAATTCAAGCCTGGCCTGAGATCAAGGAGGATGAGTACAACAGAGTCAATCATCATCAAAGATCTGATTATGGAGGAAAATAGTTGCTATGCTCTGAATGGAGGACAGTATCATTTCCTCAAGAATACTGTGAGAAGGATGGACAGGTAGGTGAGATAAGTTGACTTTTTATGCACTTGAAAAGGAGGAATAGTAGGAATGCTGCAGCAGTTAGAGAGCACATCAGAATTAGGATACATTTAAAACTGAAAAATAGTTGGCCAGTCATACAGGGAACAAGAGTGGAGGGACAGAATTAAAGCATAGAAGTGGATAAGAAAAGGAAGCAGATTTAGTTAAACTGGGGAAAGTAAACTAGTGAGTAAATTGCTCCAGGCATAAGGGATCATAACAGAGGGCACAAAGCAGAGAATGGTAAAAAGAAATGATCAACAATGAACTGGGAGGAGTGTATGGAGTGGGATGGTGGAGAATGATGACATAGAGCTCTGTATGGTGAAGATAAAGAATTTAAATTTGTGTGGCAAGATACAGGAATCTAATTCTTAAAACTTGATATTAAGACAATCACACATTTGGTATTTATCAAGTTGAGTCTTAGACCTTTCCTCTAGGTCAGGCCTACGCAACTTTGGAAGCCCCAGGGGCCACAATGCCGAGGGCCGCAACTTAGGCATGGTTAAATATACATGCAAATATATATGCAAATAACTTCTTTCACACTGATAGGCATGAATACAAAGATTAAGCCATACGTCACAGCACCGAACCCAAACGTGGCCAGTGTGAGCCAGTCAGCACCTCTTAGGCTCTGCCCACAAGGCTAAGCAACCAACACTTTCCACAATGCCATGGTGCTCCTGGCACCTCCTCCCTGGGGGCTAGAAATGCCAACACCGTGTACCCATCTGTTCCACCCCGCCCATCTGCTTGTGTCTTTCAATGCTCGCCCCACCTGTAAGATACCTTATCATTGTGGAGCTTGTTCAAAGAATCCCACCCGCAGGCCGTGCGTTGAGCCCCACGTAAAACCAAACTGCACTGCGGGCCGCTTGTTGAGTAGCCCTGCTCTAGGTAATGCTTTAGTGAGAGTACTACTGATCAAGGTCTTGCATCCCCATGGGGTGGTCTGGGAGAAAGCAGTCCCTTCTTATTACATCCTAAGCAATGCATCTGGATGTTGGCACCCAACACAAGAGCCTGCTTTACGGGAATCAGCCAACTGTCCATTATAGGTGCATTCAAACAGCTGTGATAGGTTGTTAAAGCAGAAGAACATACTTTCTTCTATCTATTGCTATTCGCTCAGCACCTGATTCTGCCACCTGTATGCACAGTATCTAACATACATACTTATAATCATTGGCCCCTCTTTTCTCATAATTATATTTTACTCTGCTTTACTGAGCCCCACCAACTCAGTAAAAAAACTACTCAGCATGGAGGTGGCAGAACTCGCAGGAAGAGCAAGATGTTTTGTAGGTTACATCTCTGTAACAGGAGATGGGATGTAATGTTGGCACTGGCAGAGTCTGTGGCAGTTAGCTCCTGAGAGGGAAAAGCTGCCTTTTCCCCAGTTATCCCCCTCCCACTTCAGCCCCCCCCCAAATCCTTATGGAAACCCCCATTTACCCCTCCCCAGTTCACCACTTCCTGGAAACCCCAATTAACTCCTCCCTAACCCCCCCAGAAACTCCATTTATCCCCATCATGAAAACCTCATTTACCCCTCCCCAACAATCCCATGTAGCCACATCTAATAATATATATGGAGATAGGTCTATCTCATAGAACTGGAAGGGACCTTGAGAGATCATGGAGTCCAATTCCCTGTCTTCACAGCAGGACCAAGTACCATCCTTGACACTTGCCAACAAGGACTTAACAAGTCTTTGAACTTTCTCACCCATTACCAAGACAGTTTCCCCAATTATCACCTGTAATACCATTAACTCACAAACACCCCACTCTCCCTACCTTTAATATCAGCAATTCACAGACACTTACCTTCCTTCCTCCCCCTTCCCACCCCCCTCCTCCGCATCCCCCTTCTGTTCTGCAATGTGATTTGTCCTTTTCATATTTGTTCATTTTTTTAAATTGTATCCTTTGGTATATATGGTTGTGACTACTTTCTTCCACTATTTGATCTGAGGAAGTGGGTCTGGCCCACGAAAGCTCATCATCTAATAAACCATCTTGTTAGTCTTTAAAGTGCTACATTGTCCTGCATTTTGCTTCAACTACCCCAGACTAACACGGCTACATTTCTATCACCAATCTGGAGGGGAGCTAGAGCGTTAGTGTGGGAACCTTGAGTCTCGAGGGCCACACTCACGTGAGCTGGGGTATTAGGTTCCTCACCCCTGCTTTAAAAACAAAACCTCTTACTCTTAAAAATCGATCCCCGTATCTCTGGTCGGACCACCTTCACGCAGGTCCTCCGGGATGGAAAACTGCAGCAAACTGTATGAACAGAAACAAACAGAACCCCGAAGACCCGAGTGATGCCTGACCACGGGGAGCGTCCAGTTTAGCCAGGCCCAGGAACACGCCAGCTACCCCACACCTTCCAACCGCCCCCGGGACGGGAGCTCCTACTCACCCCTCCCCGGGCAGCCCCTTCACCTCTGCCCACGCCTGAGGGACGGGCGCGCACCCC